ATAACTATGCTTCCCTCAATAGCCATTCTGATGCTAAGCCTTCATTTGCAATGCTAGAATCCCTTCCTTTATTTTATTTTTTTGTCTGCCCAGCAAATATTACCAGTCAGTGGAAAAACATCCATTGCTTCTTAATTTGAGATGAGGCTGGGGCTGACGAAGGCAAGCTTTGTCCAATGGCTAGATTTGAGAGTATAACCATCTGTCAAAAGTTGCTTCCTTTTCTCATATGTAGTTTTTGTGAATGTATTAAAGGAAGCCTGACTAGATCACAGTCAGCTTCTTTTGGGCAGTGTTTAATGGAATTCTGAAATTGTCTTTAATCTTGCCAAAAGTGAACTAATTATTAGATGATATCAGGTGTTTTTTTTTTTTTGTTTTTTTTTTGAGAAGAGCTGAGGTGGCACAATGGTTAGAATGCAGTACGGCAGGCTACTTCTGCCTGTCGGCTGCCTGCAGTTCAGCAGTTCAAGTCTTATTGACTCAAGGTTGACTCAGCCTTCCATCCTTCTGTATTTGGTAAAGTGAGGATCCAGATTGTTAGGGACAATATGTTGACTCTGTGAAACCACTTAGAGAGGGCTGTAAAGCACTTTAAAGCGATTTATAAGTCTAAGTGCTATTGCTATTGCTATCAACCAAAGGTGGCATCAGAGGTGTCCGCAAAGTGTGGTTAAAAAAAAGTCAAGATGGCAGCCACAATCAAAGTTCCAACTGTTTTTATGTGCATCAAACATACCATAATGGCTGCCATCTTAATTTTTTTGACTATATCTGTAGACACCTCTCATTGGAGTCATGGTGCCATCCAATTGGGCTATTTGTAAGATTGCAAAACAGTTCTACTTTAAAGCCTCCATTTAAAATATTTCATTCTGGAACACCGGCTCTATGAAGGTGAAGTTCTGGGTGAAGCATCAGTAGACATTCTGCCACTACTGAAGTGGGATGTTGTGGGCCTGAGGCAGTCATGTAGAAATGTTTCTAGCTTGTTTTTGTTGATCCACTGTCTGCATCCATTTCAAAATACGGATTAGCAAGATCAAGGACTTGTGATATTGGGGATACCTACCATAAGCAACATACAAGCTTTATTGCAACTAATAGTAGTGATAGAAAATCTATGCTGTCAACAACAGCAAGACATTTACTTCAATGCAGAACATAGTGCCCTAAGGCTGAGTCAAGCAATAGTCAGAATTTGAAAAGTAGGACAGCCAAAAGTCATTAGAGGTCACACCTGTTATTACCCAGAGGGTGGTTCTGGACATGCCACTCCGCATTGTGAAGATATTAGATTTCAGCATTCTCCAGCTGCTTGGTCTCAAATCTAGAATCCCCAGACATACCATATTCAGAAGCTAGGGGGTGCCCACTCTGTAACGGATATAGAGGGAAGGCCTGTTGGGGTTGCTGCCAGCAACAGGACCTGATAGTAACAAGCATCTTCACACACCTTGACGCAGCCTGTTAACCTCTTCTACTCACTGGGGAAGGAGAAGGCGTTTTCTGCTATTGGCATCATCTTCCAGGCTTTAGGACCCAGTAGAACATTGTTTGCTTCACAAAAAGGTCATAGACATAGCCTGTACAGCAGAAGTAAAAGAGGGCCATGATTCTCATGGACATCTACCTATGAAATCTCAGACATGGGGTCACAGATACTGAGAATGGAGCTAACCTGCAAAAGGCAGCCAAAGCAGGTGTAGTTTGATAATCTACACCAATTCTCACAAATTGTCATTTCATTATCGGGGATATTGTTGGTACTGAAAATTCCAGCATCAGGTATCTTGTCAAGCACTGACATGGTTGCCTGCAGTTTTACCATAAGAATGCAGAATATTTTTATCTTAGGTAATGGAAATACATGTATAGGAGCAGAGGTACATCAAGCTCAGCCTATCTTGATCCCTGACAATGCCATGGGAAATCCATTTGGCTATTGCACAGGTGACTAGATGTGGATAAAAATCTATCACAAGTCCAAAATACAATGCATCTGTACTCATTTTAGCTACAAACCTCTTGAGGTCAATCTTGGAACAACTTGTTCACTTTTCTGGTAAGTCCTTGGATAATTTTCAGGATGAGTTAAGGATCCCATGAATGTGGTGGCTAGTCTAGTGACTTCAAGGGCGAAGGGGCTACTGAAAGCACTGCTTTCTTAAGATAAAGCGATAGCTCTGGGATTGTGGGTCTCAGCAAGAAAGATTGGATTGTTGAATTAAGCATGTACAGCAATAACAGCAAAAATAGCAAGCAGGGGTCTGGTTCTGTGGTGTATTCAGACAATAGCTACACAAGGCTATCAAGAAAACAGATGATTCTAACAGTTCTGTGCTACCCCAAACAAGACCAACAGGTTTGCTTTTGTTTTCTTAGATTTGGCTAGTTCTGGCAATACCCAGTAGCAGTTTATCAAAGATCATTGTCCTGAATTAGAGTGTTTTCCAGGAGAAGAGACATAGCGATATCCCATTGTTCATTTCTGAACCGTTGCCCAACTTTCTTTATCTGGCACTGGAGGCTAGTGAGACTTACAGCAATGCTGGAAGCATGGCATAATTGGTAATCTTCTTTCACCCTAATCTCACATTTCATCCTTTTTAAATGTGTATGTTTAATGGCACCTAATACCTGAAAAGACACTGCTGAATGCAGAGAAGCAGAGCAATCCTAAGTATACCTCAGTAAGTTTCATGATGTTCAGAAGTGTTACTATGTTTGGGAATAAAAAAAAATTGTTGCACACCCAGTGTTGCTTTGAGATGGGTAGCATATAAATGAAATAAATAAATTTGTTAACTCTTTTTAAAAAATCCAAAAAGTATCACTTAAAACATCCTTTTATTAAATCAACTCAAAAGCCACCCAATTTAATACATTAACAATACTGTTTTTGTAATAGACGCATGTCTCTATTTTTTGCTTAATCTCTGACCGTATGTTCAGAGGTGGGTTTTAACGTCAGAAGGTCCTATTTTCAAAAGTTTGGAAGCCACTCTTTGTTTATTCCTGCAGCTGTGGGTGAAACTTGAAACCATCTCAGTACCACGTAGAGCTTTCTTTGAACACAGCGCTCCCACATTCCATTCCAAATCCAGGGAGCCAACATTTTAGGATTTCCTGGCTACTTGCTTTTCTCAACTCCACTCCCGGAGAGGTCATCTCAGCTTTCACTTGCTTGTGAACTTAAACCAGAGATGGGTGGGCAACTTTACGACCTGTGGACTTCAACTCCCGCAATTCCTCACCCAGCCATGCTAGTTCAGGAATTCTGGGAGTTGAAGTCCACAGGTCGTAAAGGAGCCACAGTTGCCCACAAGTGGAAACTCCTAAAGAAGTTGAAAGTTCGCTTTCGCGAGGTGTCTTTTCGGATTGGCTTATTTAGCGTCTCGGATTCATTCAGCTCCTTATATTGGAAGCGGCAGAGTTAAAATACCCGGCGAGCAGTCAAATGCGTTGTGACTGTCGGCGATCCCAGCCGTTCAGTTGGAAGCCGCCGTTTGCAGCGCCAAATGCAGGAAACCGTCCCCTTCTCCCCACCTCGATTCACAAGAGTCCGTTTGACTCCTCGCCACCAGAGGACCAAAAGCCAAAACTCCCATGTACCAGAAAGAGCACCCAGAATAAACGCCAGGAGTTCCTGGCGGGAATTGACCCAAACGCGACTTTTTAAATATATTTTTGAAGACTTAAGCGTGAGAAGGAATGTGAAAATAATAAAGACGGGATATCAATAAATGAATGAACTTTTTTTTTTAAAAAAAGTTAGTTCTCTCTTGCAAAGCCGCGCGCTGCGGTTCCAGTAAGGCGCCGAAGGGTCTGGGCGAGCCCCCTCCTCACAGGAAGCATTTTTAAAGTAATGCAGACCACCGTCCACTTTTCTCTCCGCAGACAGGGTGGCACAACGATCCCGAAGAAGCGCCTCTTTGGTTTTCAAGTTCGGCACCCGTTAGCTGGGGGGGCTACGGCAAGTTTGCCTCAGAAAAAGTGCGGAGGAGGAGGAGGGCGACGCGCGGAGAGAAAAAGCTTTTCTCTCAGCCCTCGCGAGGGTCTCCCTGGCTTTCGGAGGAGCGGCAAGGGTCGCGGCTTCCAAAGAGAGTGCCTCCGACTCGTAAAAAGCCCGGTGGTCACCGCAGCGCTGGACTCGGAAGAGACCGCCTTTGATGTCAGCGGGACTCGCTTCCCAGCCACAGGAACACTAGCAGGCTGCGGCAACAAGCCTCTCCCTCACGCCCCCGCGTTTCCCCCTCCCGGGAAGCGCTTTGCTGAGCAACAGGATTCCCGGGGGCGGAGGGGAGGACGCGAGAGGCGGGGGGGGGGGAAGGGTGTCACGTGGGAGTCAGCCCATCACACCCCTCCCCCGCCCTGTCTCAACCCGAGAGTCCGCACTGAGGACTCTAGTCCCCGGGCATTGAAAGAGGTGAGGTGGGGGGAGGGGGAATTAGAAAGCTACTTTTCAAGTCTTTCGACTCCTGATTGGCCGCCAGCCTAAGAATCAGGCGACATTCTTCCGGGAAAAGCAAAAACAAAACATCATCTTCTTTCTTCCCGGACGGGGAAGGTCGCTTCTCCCGCCAATGTGCCTCGTCTTGTCTTGAAGTTGTCTCCTTCGGAGCGCGCACGCCCCCCCGTTTCCTCTTCAAGTTTGGTATGTCCCGTTGCAGGACACCTTCCCCTCCTCTTTGCCCGGTTCCTCCAACCCCGCTAAGGCGCTTAAGCGGGTAACCAGATATTCAAAAACAATACGTCAGCCCACAATGCCCTGCACGGAGCTCAGGCATTACCTCATCCCACAATGCCTTGCGAAAAGGGGCCGGGAAACTTATCGGGGTGGGGTGGCCATGGAGATGGGCGCCTTTGCAACAGGCTGGCCCAACCCCCCTCCTCCCCCTGAGAGGCGGCGGCAGCCAATGGGAAGGCCCCGGGGTGACATCATGGGCTATTTTTAGTGGGTTACTGCTCTCTGATAAGTGTTGTGCTCCACGCTGGGAAAGAGCTCAGAGTGGGATTGAGTGGCGGCGGGAGAAGTGACGGTGGCAGCGCTCCTGTCCGGTAGCGGGAGAAGAAGCCCCAGCAGAGCCGGTTTCAGCTCCAGACGCCAGCAGGGCCCCCGGGCTGCTATTCCCGAGAACCTGACGCACAGAGAGCGAGCCGGCGCTCCCTTGTTAAAAAGTCGAGTCGGGGGTCGCTGAGATCCCCCCAGCCGGAGCGCGAAAGCTGAACTTGCCCGGGCATCCTTTCCTTTGGAGCGCCCCGAGTGCCTTGCCTCCTGGACCGCTTCAGCTCTTCTCGTCTGAATCCCGAAGGTGCCGAGCGTGGGAATCTCTTCTTTTTTTCCCCACCAACCCACCCCCTCCTCCCCTTCTGTGAGCAAGAAGAGGGGCGATCTACTTGTGGCAACTTTTTCTTCTTCTTCTTTGCCTTTCTGGCTGGGACTTGAGGCGACCTGCTTTTTGACAGCCGCTGCGAGAAAGGAGAGGACTCAGACAAGTGGGTTTGAAACTCGGAAACGCTCCAGACCGACCCAGGACACTCCCACGAGGAGTGCGAAGGGGCGGAGGAGGGAAGGAAAAAAAGGACTTCAAAAGTTTCTGGATTCCATCCTTCTTCGGAGCGATAAAGAGGCACCCCTGAAGCATTATTCCTTCCTTGGACTGAGAAAGGGATTCCGAATTTGAAAAATAACTTTTATTTGGGTCTTCCTCCCCCACCCCATCCCCTCCCAACAGTCACAGTCGGGAAGTGATGCGCATTCTGGATCTTTGAGGTGAAACTGTGTGTGTTCGAGTCTGACTTTTTTCTAGCCAAACTGGGGGCTCGAATCAATGCCTTGTTGCAAAAAAGTAAGACTTTAATTGATCACTTTTGAACTGTTGTCTTCATTGTTGAAAGAGTGTTGTTATAAGAACTCTACCTACTTCATAACTGTGGCAGCTGTGAACTTTTTTAAGTTGTAACAAACCAACTTCCTTTCCTAGGTCTGTTTTTTGGGCTATAGGTGAACAAACTTGTGGACTGTATTCTATGACTGCAAAGATGGAACCTACATTCTACGACGATGCCATCAATGCTACCTTTGTGCAGCCAGAAAGTGGTGCTTATGGATATAATAATCCCAAAGTTCTGAAGCAGAACATGACTCTCAATCTGGCTGACCCTTCCAGTAACCTCAAGCCCCACCTGAGGAACAAAAATGCTGATATCCTGACCTCTCCAGATGTTGGCCTCCTCAAGCTGGCTTCTCCTGAACTGGAAAGGCTGATTATTCAGTCAGGAAATGGACTGATCACTACCACTCCGACCCCAACCCAGTTCCTCTGTCCCAAAAATGTCACCGATGAGCAAGAAGGTTTTGCTGAAGGCTTTGTCAGGGCACTCGCAGAGCTACACAATCAAAACACCATGCCGAATGTTACCTCCGCTGCTCCGCCTACGAACTCCGGCATGGCCCCTGTCTCTTCCATGGCTGGAAACAGTGGCTTCAATGCTAACATGCACAGCGAGCCACCCGTCTATGCTAATCTCAGTAACTTCAATCCTAGCGCACTCAATACAGTGCCTTCCTACAATGCAAACAACCTGGGCTTTCCTCCACAGCATCATATAAACCCCCAGATGCCAGTGCAGCATCCGCGCCTCCAAGCTCTGAAAGAAGAGCCTCAGACTGTCCCAGAAATGCCCGGGGAGACTCCTCCCCTGTCCCCTATTGACATGGAATCCCAAGAAAGGATCAAGGCAGAGAGAAAGCGCATGAGAAATCGAATTGCAGCTTCCAAGTGCCGGAAAAGGAAGTTGGAGCGGATTGCCAGGTTGGAAGAAAAAGTCAAAACTTTGAAAGCCCAGAACTCAGAACTCGCGTCTACTGCCAACATGCTGCGAGAGCAGGTTGCACAGCTGAAGCAGAAGGTCATGAATCACGTCAATAGTGGATGCCAGCTAATGCTCACACAGCAGTTGCAAACTTTTTGAAAAGACTGAAAAGTAACTTGATGAGGAGAAATTAAGGAGAGGAAAGCATTTGGGAGGCAGACGCCCTCCCGCAACACACACACACTTGTGGTGGGTGGAAAGAAATGGCTGAAAGGCATTGAATCCGAAGACTGCCACCCCCGAGTCAAATGCATGTGTGGAGAGACTGGTGTGCCTTTTGGGTGAGGTGGCGGCGTATCAGTTGACAGAGCAACTCAGCAAAACAGCTGAGCTGTTCCACTCAGATAAGGCATGGGATGCCTTGTGTTTGTCTTTCTTTTTCTCTCTTTTTTTAACATTGACCAAGACTTGCATGGACCTAACATTAAAATGATCATTCAGTATTAAAAGTTAAACTGCAGTAGATACTGTAGATGGCTTTCTCTTAGTACTCCTTTTAAAAAAAAACAAAAATAGGGAGGGTGTTTTGGGGAAGCTAACAACAGAAACTGGGCTATACTGCCTGTCTGAGTTGTGTATGTACATGTATATTTTTTATTTTATGACAACTGATTAATGTCAAGTAAAACTACTTCATGACTTTGTAAGTTATTTTTTATGTTCATTTGGGTTCCACCCAGTATTGTTTGTAAATAAGAGATTTTTTTAGCAACTTTTGAGTTTTTTTTCCATTTGTAATAAAGTATATAATTTTTTTAATGTTTATTTCTGAAACAAAAGAAGGGGTTGATCTTATTTAAGAAAGCACCAGTAATCCTTATTTTCTTTTGATAAGTATTTAGATTTCAATTCTACACACACTTAACCTAGGAGCAAGTCTTATTAACTTCAGTGGGGCTTACTGCTGAGTAGACATACAAAGATACTTGTAAATCGGGCATAACAGAATCAACTTTTAGTTGAATGTTAAAACTCTACTGAAGTGAGGAGTGAGAAACTCTTCTTTGATCTTCACATACTGTAACAACCATTTAAAAAGTCTTGTGGTACTCCTGTTACAATAAAACTATTGGTCTTTAGAGTGCCATAAAATTCCTTGTGTTCTAATTCCCAGGTGGGTAAATTTTGTTTTGCCTAAGGGTATCAAATTTATATTCCTAGGTTACTAACAAATACTGGATGGGAAACATATAAAGACTTACACATTCAGATATTTATTTCATGTAAGAGAACTAACTTCCTCTTAAAGGCATCATTTACGGAGGTGGTATTAGAAAAAAAAACTAGACACCAGAAATGCTTGACAATCTAGTGCAAATAATTTAGTGATCTACTGGTACATTTTAATCTACTTTTTGCCTATCCCTGCTTTTAACTGGAATACAAGAGACATCTCAGTGACCCCCTGTGGTGGAAAAAAAGAGCTGCTATCTAATTTGACTTTAAACTTGTATGGTTTGCTCCACAAAGAGCTACTGATACAATTTTAACAGAAGTGAAAAAAAGTTATTCTGTATCTACGTACTTGTAGAATAAACTTTTTTTAAAGTATTAACTGGCCATTTCACAATTACATGTTCTTAAGAAAATATTGATAACCTTTTGGAAGAAACCACTGTTTTTAAAAGCAACCAATTTGTCACCTTTCTGTTTGTTATCTCTTTGATTTTTTTTAAAAAGCTCTCTGTTCATAAGTATTTAGGACTATGCCTGTTGTCCAATAAAACCATTCTATTAATCTTCCAACAAATATGAATTTCTTTTCCCTCTTTTGGTGATGGTTTTTTAAAACTATTTCACAACAGATGAGAAGAGAGAATAATTTAAACTGGATTATGTGGCTTGGAATTTGGGAAGTAAAATTCATAAATACTAAATATGTTTTTAATAGTGGCAGGTTTTATAATATCATTATGACACAAATTTGCAACATTCTATAGACCAGGGGTTATACCTATAATTCATTTATGCAGGATTCCCCTGCTAAATTTCTGCCTATTGTGCATCTGTTAAACATCCAGAGGCAACTAAGAAATGCTTTTAGACCACTTGAAATGCAGTGTTCCTAAGTAGTGGGATGCAACAACTTTTAGTGTTCTTCAGAAGAGTGGCTTCTTTATGATTGCATCTTTCTATAAAGAGGCTGAATTAATAGTGGCAATTGACTGCCTCCTATATTTAATGGTAGTTAAAGTTGTCAAACAAGGGGTTAAGCAGGGTGATTGCATATTCTGTTGGGTGTCCCTAATGCTGACACAAGCAAGCTGGAAAGCAAGCTGATTCTGACCATCTGTAGGAACAAGCAATCAAAGGGCCGAACAAGCATAAAACTCAATGGGGTGTGGCCTTTCTGCTCCCCAACAAGTGCCAACTCGCAAAACAAGCAGCCTACCTGGAAAGGTAAAGCTCTTAACTATCAAGCGTACTTCTGTTGTGCAAGAGATTTTATAGTTCTAAACATTCCATGTCATTCTGGATAGGAGCAGACTGCCCTGATTTAATCTTGGTGTTTCTAAACTCCTTGACATTTCCAGGAATGTCTTCTCATTCTACCCCTTTTTTTAAGGCTGTCCACTGATTCACCTTTTTTTTACTTGGTTTCCAAATAGCAGTATCCACGCAAAAATAAAATACAGGAGAAGTTGAGTGCAAATTTAAAGAAGGGATTCTTAGGGATTCCAGCAAGCATTTTTAAGATAAGAAAAAGACTGTTTGCATTTTCCCAAATATAGCACACACCAACTGTCTCCCAATCTGCTTGGGGTCCCAGGACAGATGGACCATTTTGGAGAATGCTTGGTCCTGGATTTTGCTTTTGGGTATGACTCTTGTATCTTTATTAGCTGGATTTGCAAAATACGTTGAAACGTAAACTAACTGTGTGGACCTGTGTTCATTGTGTTTTGCATCTCAGGGTCTGGGCTTGAGACAGAGAACCAGCCAATCACAAGTTAGCCCTGTCCAAATCAGCCCACAAGTGGTTAGTATATGATTTCATGTGTTGTGTGTACCCAGGAAATGGGGTTAAATATTCTATGACTCATTTAATATTGGGCAAATGTATTGTGTGAACACAGCCCATAAATTGTGCAAACCAAGTTGATGTGCCTAGCTTATGATTTGGTGAGCTGAACAAATTTGTGTCAGTAGTTCAGTAGCTCCATTGTTTAGCTTTTATGAATATACCTTAACGGAGATGGATGGCAATGCAGTCAATACGATTTTTTCCCCATATTTGAGTTGCAGGAATTGAAAAATGTTAACCAATCTGAGTTAATAAAATAACTCTTAAAATTAGACCACCACAACCACTGACAACTTTAGAAGAAATGTAAAAATAGGACAGTTGGATTTCTTTATTTTTTAATGAACAGAAACTCTATAGGTTTCTGTTCATCAAAAATAAAGGTAACAAAAAGTAACAAAAAGACATTGTAAATGTAAATGGTACTTGAAAACTAACACATTTATTTAGTACTAGGCAACCCATGTCCTGTTGGGTCATCATTTTGGAGATATTTCCTTATCTGAAGAGAGAAACAGAATGACCATGGGTAGGTGAAAAAGCAGTAATAGGAGTGACTTCTGACTTCCTGACACCTTCCCCATTGGGTTTCCTTGTGGGAATCTGGTAGGGAACATCAGAAATTTCCCTCCTTCCTTCTTCCCTTCCCTTCCCAGCAGGAGCAAGGGATTGCAAGAGTGGCTGGGAAACTGTCACAAAACATTGAAGATGAGGATCATATGACCACAGCAGCAATTTGACTATAGCAGCAGCCTAAAGCAGCCACATCTGTCTGAAATTTCATTTCCTCAGGAGCTGCTAGTCCCGGAATTTAGATGCATTCTGTAAGTCAATGCATTCAAGATACCTTGGTTCAGAAATTGTTGCTCTATGATGTGTTGTTTTGCCCAATTAAAGTTTATATAAACGAAAGTTTTAGTGGTATACAGATTTCTTGTTACGGACTAAAGTTCATTTTACCATGTATCTGGCATATTATCCTATGTTGCAGTTGCATTTCATTTATGAAAAACAAATCCCCATGGAGCTTATTCCTGGCATTCTTTGCTGCTGTACTCCAACTAGTTTGAAGCAATAAACCAAATGTTAAAAAGAACAGTAAAATGGCATTAGTCCAAAGGGAAGGATGCTCAATCCTACCTTCGCATAAACCCTCTCCCTCGGCCAGAGCCATTTTACAAAACTTCATTAGGGTGTTCTTACAGTTCTTATATATGAGGGAAGTTTGTTTTAAGTAGAACTGCTACCACTAACAAGTCCCTACTATGGGATCTGTGCAGATGAAATTCTTTGGGAAAACGGTCATCAGTAAAGCCTTGCTCCCAGATATCATAGGATAGGCAGATTTATTTTGGAGCTGATCTTGGGGATAACCAGTCCCTGAATCTTGCTTGATACAATATGTTCAGGCATAACATTTATTTCTAGGGACTGGTCTTCTAGCACTATGAATTCTTCATTAAACGACTTAAGATTCTTCTGGCTGCTCCCACTGGAGCTAACTAAGCCTGAAATAATTTTTCAAACTCCCAAAACTCTGTCACAAATCAGCATTTGTTGTACGAAATCACAAATCTCTTAAGCTAAATTGGCATTTTAAATATAATTATTTCTTTGACTATAAAAATTGACACTTTAATAAAAACAAAAGAATAATACATGATTAGATCGAACAAAGTTATAATGCAGTTAGTTTAGGAGATAGTGTGAACTCAGATGTGATTTGTGATTTATGGTTTAGCATGATATTGAAACCAGGCATCATGGCTTGCACAGCCATTATGGTTTATTATTATGAAACATGTTTCATAAAATAGATTCCAGTTCCCCAGAAAGAAACATAAACCAAGAAGTAAGAGGATAAAATATAAAAAACTTAGTAAGATGGTAACATAGACAAGGAACATTGGTGGACCAGGGGAAGATCTGGCTCCACCTTCCTCACTCTGGTGCCCTCTATATCAAGGGTGTCCAATTTTGGCAACTTAAAGACTTGTGGACTTCAACTCCCAGACTTCCCCAGCCAGCCATACTGAGAGTTGAATACAGAAGTCTTAAAAGTTGCCAAGGCTGGATATCCTTGCTCGGTATATTGGACTAGAAAGCATTTCTTCACATTTCTTGAGAGGCCTATTCCATCTCAGGCAGTGGTGGGATTCAAATTTTTTTTACTACTGGTTCTGTGGGCAGGCTTGGTGGGTGTGATGTGGCTTGGTGGGTGTGGTTTGGTGGGCGTGGCAGGGGAAGGATACTATAAAATCTCCATTCCCTCCCCACTCCTGGGGGAAGGTTACTACAAAATCCCATTCCCTCCCCATCCCACTAACCTGCTTTCCAGCTCTGTTCTCCTGTGTAGGGCAACAAAAGAAGACCCAGCCGATCAGCTTGGACTCGGGAGGCAGAGAATAGATGGGGGCGGGGCCAGTCAGAGGTGGTATTTCAAAGTACTCAAAATTTCCGCTATCGGTTCTCCAGAACTGGTCAGAACCTGCTGAATACCATCTCTGATCCCAGGGAGGTAATATTAAACAATCATAAATATTAGCCACTAATAGTCTTTCCCATTATAAATTTGCTTAACCCCTTTTCCAGACTGTTTTTGGTTATACCATGACATTTCAGGACTCTTGATAGTCCTGACAACTGAAACTGTTTGACAAACAGGGAATGAAGAACCTCTCCAGCCAACCACACAAAACAGGTTTACAAATACAAAGATTCAAATATGCCTGCAATGGACTGAGCATAAGGCAAGCTTGAATTAAAAATGTTTCAAAAGGTGCTATTTCCTGAGAACAAAGCATGTGATTAACCTTTTTTTTTTTTTTGCAAATTACATTTTCCTGGTGAATACCATCAAGAGGCTGGGATTCTGCAAGTATATTTTCTCCTTCCAAACCAATTGACTGCCAAAAAAGAAAAAAGAAAGAAAGAAAAGGCTTGGAAAGATCAGATATGGGTTTCTATCTTCTGCAGTAACAGATTAGGTCCTCAGGGACATCTGATTTATCTTTTGAGTACATTCTGGCTAAAGGGAGTTTCTTTAATCATCCCCCCACAACAAGATACTTTTTCTAGGGAGAATATTCATGCCCCTGAAGGGAGTTTCTACCAAACAGAAACAAATCCTCTCATTAACCCTACATACCTGGAAAATGGCTTTTCTTTGAACCATGTGGTCAAATGAATTCCAATAAGGGAAGTTACAGTGAAGTTCTCACTATTACTTCTCCAGCGTAAAAATGGTCAGTTGTAAGGGGTGGGTGGGAATCTACAGTATTCCAAAACTTAATTGTGGGAATTATACTTATCAAAATTTCTCATCTTCAGTTTGTGATGGGAGGCATGTAAAAAAAACCTTACCCATTCAGCCAAGAACTTGAATGGTTATTCTGTTTTATTTTATGATCAGCCCTCTGATATGATATGTAACTTCATGGTGCTTTAGGACTGAGTCTTGTTTGAATGGCTATGTCCAACATGACATCTACTCTGGGAGATGAGTGAAAACAATGCTGAGTTAACATTTGCTCCCAGTTGTTTATTAATGTGAAAGATCAAAACGAACCTTGGGTAATGAACTGAGATACAAAGATCCAATACAGAGTGGATGTAAGATTCTTCAAATACAGCCCAGAAACCCTTGCTTACACAGTGCAGTGCAGTATATACAATACAGAACAATGCAATGTCATGTTGGGAGTTGCATGTCAGCAAATCT